AGACACACGTGTGTCACTGAATCTCAGCTCCCTTCACACGTATTAACAATTTGTGAATCAATGATACTAATTGTTGCTCATGGAATTTTTGCTGGAACAAAAGCTATCAAGCTGAAGTCACTTATCTGACTGTCCTCATCGAGAGGAGTGTATTGGATAGGAGACAGAACTGGACCAATCAAACATACACGCACCGCATGTCCACCATTAACAGTCTTTTGTTAGTGGTGCACAATAAGGATTCACATTCGCATTCACTTGGGCATATTTCTTGTCTGTTTAGTCTGATTATTGAGTTCATTCATCCATTATGTAATTATTATACATGTTCACGTGCGTGTTAAACAAAGTGTTCTGACGTCGTGAAAACGTCAGTGTGGTCTTTAGTTCCTATTTTCTCTTATTAACGGGACAACAATAACGAGTTGTTGTTGTTTTCAGTGATCTCACTGAAGGTCTGAGTGGACTAGGTTTTTGTCCAAAGGTAACTTCAAATTGGTCACCGATCTTCCACAGAGCAGTGACTAAGCCTCTGCTGTTGTACTTACATGTACATTTACACTTACGTGACTCACTGTGGCTGCTCAGAGAAACAAAGCAAAACTAAAATATATACTTTGGTTTTTCATACAAATATATATATATATGTGTGTATATATATATAAAAGCTAAACAAAAAGCTATAAGTTACACAAAAATCCTTGTAAAAGATTTGTATATTTTAAGTATTACAGTTGTAGTATCATACAAGTATCCCTTTAAGTAAGCCCTCCGTGTCAGACATGATCATTGTAATTATAATTGTCAATTTCTTATCTAAAAAAGATAGTCGCACGTTAGCTAGTAGTTAGCTAGTTAGAAAGTTCAGAAATAGTTTTTAAAATTAACATAAATTTAGCAATATATTTCCCTGTGCTTAAAGTTAGCCATTAAAAGCTGCAATTTTATTGAAATGGTGAAAATACTTCTTTAAATATTCTCAGAAGTTTTTCAGGTCTGAGGATTTATTCACTATAACAGGACAGATGTTTTGTTTTTTTTTTGTCTAAGACGGTATGTAGATGTATTCAAATAGCTAATAACGCAAAGAATATCTTAATTTTGAAATTCAGAAAGACACCGTTGTCTCTCCACCAAGGATCTTTCAGTTACCCACTCATGTCATAACCACATGGGTAATTTTCTCAGGAGTTCAGACTAATTGTTTCCCAGCATTCATTAGTGCTGCTGCCTCCGACCTGAGGTGTGTATCTGCAGGTGCATTAGTTTAGCCATTAGTTTAGCCACTATTAATGAAACTCTGCGTGTGTGTGTGTGTTTTTGTGGGATAATTATCATTTATCATTAGCATTAACACTGATTTGTGAGACTGATTTTTACTCGTTACACACTATTAAAATTGATTAGCTGTGCTGTTAGTTGTCGGTGAAATCGCCCTCACAATGAGGACAGGACTCCGAGAGGAAAGATAAAGAAAATGATCTGTGGAAATCTGTGTAATGAGTGTAATGAGTGTGTATCGAATCTGAACCCCTCCCCCGAAAAAAAAAATTGTAACAACGATAAATAACTCAAGGTTAGTCCCTCAGAACAAAACATTAGTTCTGTGGCTCAGCCAAAACTTGATAATGTTACGACATGATGAAATGTTGCTGTCGGTGAAGCAAAACAAAGTTAGCTCCAAAAGTTAGCTTATAACTTTGCTAGAAATAGCTAACATGTATTTATAAAAGGAGCTCATTATGTAATTGTGAAACCTTAATCAAAATTCCAGAAACATTTTCACTAACCAGAGCTAAGTGTTAGCTCTAAAGCAGCCAGAAAAAAAGCTAGCTTAAAGCTAAATTCAACATAATATGCATGATTCCGCATAAAGAGTCATTTGTACATACAAACTGTCAGCTAAAACTAAGACTAGCCAAATTAGCAAAAAACAAAAAAACATTATCCTATTATAATTTTAAATTAGCCAAAATATGCCCTCCCCATCAAACACTGCAAATCAACCTATTATAATTTTAAATTAGCCAAAATATGCCCTCCCCAACAAACTGATGCAAAACATTTTAGCATCAGTTGGTAAAATTATTAAACATATACTGCAGAATATAATTTTACCAGATTTTAGCTTGGTAAACAAGCAAACCACAAAACCTATGCACAATTCTAATTGTTTATGTTTTTTGTCTCCTCC